CTGCCGAGATTAGCAGGACCCCGTGGGGGATGAGATGAAGGAGGCGAAAGGCGAAAGAAAGGCGCTCTCAGGAGGATTTTGTATGTTAATGCTTCTGGTTTGGAGTTTGTCTTAGGAAAGTGAGTGAGTCACGGGTAATTAAGAAATATGGGTCAGAACAAGTCAAAACCAACAAGAAAAACAAAACAAGGAAACAACAGAAGATCCAGGGCTGGTTCCCCTTCCTGTAATGTTACTTATATTTTGAAGCTCTTTATATTTTGAAGACCTTGTCAATTCAGTAGAGACCAAGTTTAGGTGGAGAGAATTATTTCAATTATTCTTCTCAAGTCTGGGTTTTAAAAACAGATTTAGGAATGTGTATGTATGTATGGTGTGTGTGTGTGTGTGTGTGTGTGTGTGTGTGTGTGTGTGTGTGTGATATGTGTGGTGTGTGTGTTTACATGCTCTTTGTAGGCATTTTAAGACTGTATGTCTTTAAGAGTAAGAGGCCAACATTGTGCTACTTAAACAAGATTATAGAGAACATTTAATTTAAAGGTTGTTTCGAAGATTCAGTAGCCCCCGCGTAACCAATATGTAGAATAAAAGAGATCACATAAGGTAAATAATGGATAAAAAAAAAATCAAAGTTCTCAAACTACGTGAGCTAAAGTTGAGTTCCCAGTTACCCTTGTTTTGATGAACTCAGTTATCACTGGGTTCCTTTTCTGAGTGGGTAGACAGGTGGTCCTCACTCGGGTCTAATCGTCTAGGAATCCTACTGCAGAGCTTCCAGGAGGCACAAAGCGGGCTTAGGGTCTACAGTGAGCCACCGGCTTAGTGCTCCAATAAGTAGCTCATCTGGCGTGGACACACTGTCATGTTCTGTGTGCACTGAAAAAGCCTGCTCTTTTCCAGGAAGGAGAGACATTTTACAGTCCATCCAACATGGAGAAAGATATTGCCTATTCACTGACTTCTATTTTTTTTTTTTTACAACAGAAAGGTCTCCTGTCTCTCAAAATGGTAAATTAGACCCAAACACCTTGAGTTTCTACTTCAAGAATGATTATTCTTCAAGAAGAATCACAAACAGCAGTGACCATTTTTCACAGGCATGCTCAGCCATCAGGAAAGCTTAATAAACCCCTATTTAGTATGCATTTATGCAGTGATTACATGAACTTTGACCTCTGAAGAGCTGTAGCAATTAGGTTCAGTGGCCAGCATCTCTTACACACCATTCCCCACTGGCTTCCTTCCTTCTCCCTGTAGCTCATGCTCTAGGAAGGTGCTAATTATTAAAGCTCTCCTTCTAGCCCAAGATTTCCTTCCGCACAAGTCAGTTTTGCCCTCCACTCCTCTCTGAACAGTCATCTCAGATATTAGAGCTCTGATTGTCTATAGTCCTCAAAAGCAGTGGATTTTAATTCAGTCTTGTCTCACACGAAGATTAGCACTAATGACCCAGTGAGTTTCGTTTCTTACTTCAAGGAATCTGAAATAAATCGGGACTCTTCTGTCAGACTAATTTCACATTTTTGAAAGTATTCAATACCGTTTATTTTTTAACTGAAACCCGAGTGGATGGGCAGAAAAAGTAGAGGAGGCGCAGTGGGAGGGCAGCTAGAAGCGCCTCTTTCCCCTAAAAAAGAACTAAGAGGGAAGAGGAAAGTGCCTTAAGTTTCTAGTAAACATTGTTTAGCAAAAGAATAATAGGAAAGTTGCCCCTTTCCCAAAGAGGAATGGAAGTATAATTGTTGCCTTTAGCTGAGCGCTCAGATAAAGTGCTGGGGACTCATTCTAAAATGACCCATCACCGCATTCATCTCTTCTTGAACTTTCGGTGAACCTGAGATTAAACAGGGGTGAGCAGCTAAGCAGTTTGTTGTTAGCTGCCTTTTCAACAACCCTTTCAGACTGAGTAAATATTGATCGGTTTGAATCTGATTGCCCCAGAGGAAAACACCGCTGCATCTGAATAGCCTCCAAAAGTAAACTCTCAAAGGTGAATCCCAAACCGACTTCACACTCACAGGGAGACCTAACCCATACTAGATTGAGAACACCCCCGATTTAGCCAGTATTTTGGGTGAAGGTAGAGAAAAATTTTTAAAAAGACATTTGAAAACAAATTTTGTATTGCAATTGCCCAGGTTCCCTGATTAAGACCTTTGTTTCATTTTTAAACGTTTCAACAAAATGCTATTTTCTGGTTTTCCTATGTAGGTTGTATCAGTTGCAACTGCTGTCATTTTTCAAGGCGTTAACTGTGCCCCTCGGACACCAGAACAGAAAAGAGAGACCTTGAAATGGGATGTGTTAAGCGCCTTTGATTTAATCGATTGAGACAGCTAAAAAGATACAAATGTTTTTTCCTTGTTGAAAGGTGTATTAATGTCTCCTAAATGCATTACTTGTTAGCTGATTTATTCTATGACCCAGGAAAGGCTAGGGATATTTAGGCATAATTTATCGTTCCCTTCCCTCTAAGCTACATTAAAACCAGCACCTTGAAGATTGGAATCTCTAAGATGCTAGCAGGTCCGACCCTGCTTTCAGATATTGAAATCAAGACAGTGGTATGCAAATGACACTTTAACACATTAAAGTATGTGAAAAGCAGCCATCTGTTTTGCTTTGAGGCCTTACACTAATAAACAAAAGATACAGTATAGCCAGGCGGGGAAATGAAAGAAAGGGGTGGTGTCTTTGAAGTTCTTTCCATCCCCTTGAGTCTTTTCAGGCAATCTCCGAGCCCAGCAGCCGAGAAGAGGGTGCCCTTGATATGCAGCAACTGCTCCCACAAAGTCCAGGCTTCCCCCATTTAACAGGGTTGTGAGGGAAATCACACAAGTCTTCTAGAAGGCCTGCAAATTCCGGTGTTTGTAGGTTCTTCTCCCCAGCCCATCTTTTCAAAATACTCTCTGAAAAGGAAGGAAGTCATCTCTGTATGTGTGATGCTGTAGATGTTCTGCTCTGCTCTTAGGGTTCAAAGCCTCCAGATACACGTGCAAGTTAAGAATGAGGATCCTGTTCATTGCTCCCACACTTGCACAGAATGTACAAGGCCCTTAATTTCATGCTCAACACCAACCAGGAAAAAATAGTTAGAAAATGTTTCTTGGGCTGGAGAGATGGCTCAGAGGTTAAGAGTACTGTCTGTTCTTCCTAAAGGTCCTGAGTTCAATTCCCAGCAACCACATGGTGGTTCACCACCATCTGTAATGATATGCAGGCAGAATACTGTATAAATAATAAATCTTAAAAAGAAGAAAATGTTCTTAACCCCTGAAAAATGTTAAAAATAAAAGGCAAATTGGCAAGAGGTCTAGAAGAGCCATGTGGAACTTCATGTTGATTGACTCTGATCTGACACATGACTTGATCAGAAACAAAGTCTTTGGATATACAAAGTCTTGGTTTGGTTTCCACAAGCTCACCTGGAAGAGTCTGAGTTTAGAGCAGAGATTTTACACATTTCTTTCCAGTTCATGTGGCCTAGAGTTAGGAGACCCTTTGCAGCCATGGTGGCACTGAAATGAAAGGCAAATCTGAAGGGACAAGATGTGATGCAGAGACGTGAAGAACTGCTGGAAGGGATGGCTGCTGATGGAAAGACTAGGGGAAAGGAGGCAAGGCTTTCCTGAACACAGATCACCAGTTTTAAAGATAGAATACATTGAAACACTGCCTGGTAGTTTGAAAAGGGAAGTGGCACAGTTTTAAACCGAAGCTGATTAAATGTGAATCTCTTTGCTCTTGGCTCACTGATGTGAGGAAAGCCTGCCTGAAGACAGTTTCCAGCTTTTGAAAGGGCTCTGTTTATGTATATGTTAACATTCAGTTGGAGGTGAAAAGGTTAGCACTTGACCCAGGAAGTATCCATGTTTGTTTCAAAAATAGATATCCTTCATAAATTTCTTCACTGTTTTTTTTTTTCATTTTGAACTTTGATTATAATAAAGGAGCTGCTGTTATTGTAAAAAGATCAGTGCGTTAGACACTGGTTGGATGAAAACATACTCATAGGGGAAGCTGCAAGCTGGATGACAACGGAAGGCCCACTCCTTTGAAAATAAACACCACCTTCTGTCCCTCCCCACATGAAATGCGCCAGCTTTGCAGTAGCCCAGCCAAATACACACGATGCTTAGGCATACCTGAAACTTGAATACTTTTATTACAGACATCTTAAGACCCGTAAACTGTGCTCTGGGATCTCAGAGCTGCTCATGATTGTACAGGAAATGGGGCTTATCAAAAGCTCACAAAGGGTAACTGATAGAACTCAGTGTGAGGCTTCAGGGAACATCAAAACATTGTGCGACATGCAGAAGACTATTCACGAATCACACAAAATATACATTCATTGTGCCATCCATCACATTAACAATTAGCTGGAAATACATTGTGTCTCGTCAAGATAGCTGTGGAAAGGAAGGGTGACTGAAAGGATGCCTTTAGGCTACAAATAATCCAGCATGATTTTTAAACAGGAGGGTGACCAGAGAAGCAAGAAGAAATAGAGTTTGGGAAGATTTGGCATAGGAAAGGATCCGAACCTAGTGCTTTGCAGGCTTTCTCAGCTCTGAGTGGACAAATTGAGACTATCTTCTGAGGCACCTGACTCTGTTTGAATGAGAGAGGTTATTTTCTCTTTCACCCATGATCACATGTAAGCTACCAGTTTTGAGAATCCAGCACCCTGTTTGGTTGTTACCTACACGTTTCTAGAAATTTTGTATAAAGATAAATCTCTCAAGAGGAAGCATTTACAACCAGCAAACTTGCACACATGAAACCAACTAAGTTAAGGGGTGAACTGTGTAAACACTCAGTGCATCTTTTCTTCATGAGCCTTTGGACACTCTCTTTTCTCTCTGTCCTACTTAAGGACCAGGCAGAGAAGAACAATACATAGATAAAAGGTGAGGTGTCTCCCTCCTGCCAAAGTCTGCTGGCAAAAGGAACTATTCCCCAACAGACATCTGAAGGAACCTTCAGTTGTGTGTACAATCTCACAACAGTGAAGGAAGGATGTCGGGGACCGTCAGAAATCCGACGTGGACACCCGGTGTGGGTTAAGGAGTTAACTTCCTTAACCAAGTCTCCAGAATTCTCTGGAAACACGTTATCTATGGCCAGGAGCTCCCCAGATAGGACCAGAAAGGAAGGGAGAGAGAGAGAGAGAGAGAGAGAGAGAGAGAGAGAGAGAGAGAGAGACTTTCAAGAAAGGAAGATAAGCAAAGAATGTGCTTTGGGCAAGAAATCGCAGCCCAGGGAGCAGCCCGGGGCTGAGGGGCTGGGCTGGGGCAGCCTCAGTGGGAGGTAGTCAGAGTATCCGAGGTAGACGAGCCGGGAGAAGGGGCGCAGGGCGAGGAGCTGGATTTCTCAGAGGATTCCTCGGCCTTCTCGTCGCTCCCAGGAGGAGTGGCAGGGGAGACGGGCAGGAGCCCCTCCTTCTCCCGCTTCTTCTGCTTCATGCGGCGGTTCTGGAACCAGATCTTCACCTGGGTCTCGTTGAGCTGCAGGGACGCGGCGATCTCCACCCGGCGCGCTCGCGTCAGGTACTTGTTGAAGTGGAACTCCTTCTCCAGCTCCGTGAGCTGCTTGGTGGTGAAGTTGGTGCGCACCGCGTTGGGCTGACCCACGTAGCCGTACTCTCCAACTTTCCCTGGAGGGGAGGAGAGGGAGAGAGGGAAGGTTAAAAACTCTCCAGCCCTGGTCCGCTGGTGTCAAGCTTGACGGGTAACTAACGCACAAATTCTGCTGGGAAGCGCCAGCGACGGGCGTCTGTGAAGTGTTAACCTGAAGTCAACCATTAGCCTGACCGGGCTCGTGATTAATGGAGCCTGTAGACACCAACAGAACACCGCCACCGCCACCGCCACCGCCACCGCCACCGCCACCTCCCACCCCGACGCACACCTACTGCCGCCAGACCCCTCAAACCTCAGCCCCCTTTGAAGAAGCCGGGCCCCAACTCCTTCGCCCCAACACACCTGGGCACCCTGTACCACACGCTACAACTCAAAATGACATCGGGCGTAAGCGGGGACCCCGTCTTTTAACGTCATTGATTTTCTTAGGAGACCGGGTGCCCCGGGCCCGTTTCTAAATCCGAGCAGCATTCCTTTGCCAGCTAGCCGGCCGGACTCACCTGTTTTGGGAGGGTTCCTTTTAACTTTCATCCAGTCAAAGGTCTGCGCTGGAGAAGACGTCTCTGAAACAGGGGAGCGACAGGCTTCTTGGTGGCTGGCGTGGAGAGGGGATAAGGAGTTATTATACGCGGCCAGGGCCAGGCTCTGGTGCTCTTGTCCATATGAGTGGTGAATGTACTGAGGCGAGCCCACCGCGCCCCCGGCATAACCCTGGTGGTGGTGGTGAGGCTGGACCATGGGAGATGAGAGGTTTCCAGAGTAAACAGCGGGAGCGCACGGGGGGTACCCAGCACTTACGTCTGCTTCCTGATTCAATCCATAGGGGCCATAAGGCGCGCCGAAGTTCTGCGCGCCATAGCCAGGACCACAACTCGAGTGCGAGTAGGAAACCCCAAGGTTCGCAGAAGTCTGGTAAGTACCCGGCTGGGGGTGGTGGTGGTGGTGGTGGTGGTGGTGGTGGGGCGAGCCGATCTGCACCCCTCTGCCCACCAGGAAGCGGTCGTCGCTGCCGCAGCTGTTGGCACTGACGGCACAGGACTGAAAAGTTGTAATCCCAGGGTCGGAGGGGTAGGCTCGCGCCGAGCAGGTCCCAGAGTCGCCACTGCCAAGGATGGGGTAGTCCAGGAAGGAGCTCATTCTTGCATTGTCCATCTGTCACTGAGTGACCGGGTCCCGCGAAGCCCTGGGTGACGGTGCCAACTTTCTCACTTCCTCCATAGGGCCAGAGAAGAAAAATGATATGAATGTACAGTGCGCGCAAGAGGCGGGGCGGGAAGGCGGAGGGCTCCAGGGAACGGCCACGTGACTCTGCCAGCCAATGGCTGAGCTGCCTGCGAAAGTTTACGGGCTGCGGCTATGATGGATCACCGTTTCAGTGGCATTTAAATCCCCGGCGCTCCTCAGTCTAGGTGACGCGCGCTCGCCCCCCCCAGGCAGCCCGGGCCTCGGCGGTAGCTGCGGCCGCTGCCAGAGCTGACTTGAAGCGCTGGGGCCAGAGGAAGTGGAGCCTGCCTTCTGCGCGCGCCCGACTCTGCTCGCCTCCGCCTCCAGGAATTGGGGGCAGGGAGGGGGGACGGATGGGAGGCGATTCTCGCAGCCCCTTCCCCACCCAGCCCAGAAAGCTGAACTGGCAAGAGGTGAGAGGGGACGAGGCCTCCCGGCTCTGTTGAGGCGGGCATCCGTGGGGCAGATGATCTCTGCGTGGTCTCAAGGACCCCCGGTGGAGCCGGGGACACGCGGGGTGGGACGGGTGGGAATCCAGCAGACACCACGCCCTCAGCTCGGGGACGCAGCCACCGCCCAGCCTCAGGCAGAGACCTGAGCCCGGAACCGCGGCGCCTAGGGCGAGGCTGCGTCACTGGCTTGCCAGCCTCGGAATGCGGAGGGACGTGCGCAGAGGGTTGTCAGGGAGGAACTGGGGTTGGCTGTGCAGGGGACCAGAGCGAGAAAACAAAACAAAACAAAACAAAACAAACTCTGTCGCCTTCCAGAGGGTCTCAGGGCCCTCTCCCCTGACTCCCATAGCCCAATAGCGTGGCTGTGGGAGCTTCTGTAATTTGACCCCAGGGGCGGGGGCTGTGGGGGTGGGGGTGGCTAGGAACTTAGCTCTCTGGGAAAGTCAGGGTGTCCGCTCTCTTCTCTGCCCTCCCACTTCCCCCGTTCCGGTTTTCCCTCCGCAGTCAGCTTTGCTCTCGACAGCCCTGCAAGATCCCGAGCAGCTCGGCTGCTGGAGTGGAGGGGTGGCAGGCAGAGGGGAGAGGTGACGCCAGCAGATGTGGCTCCTCATGCTGGCGGAGCCTGAGCTGCAGGCCATCTGCCGGCTCTGAGAGACCCAGGAGCTTGCGCACTCCAGGGTAGGCCTCAGAGAGCCGGATCGCAGGCATCTCCCACGGAGTACGCTTCCAGGAGGGTTTATGAGGGGTGGGAGAGCCTCCTCTTCCCATCACCCCCCCCCATTGCCTGTGTAGAGTGGGGGGGGGGGCTGGGGACTGGCAGGTGGGAGTGGCGGTGGACAGATGGCTGAGTGGATGGGTAGTTGCTTCTGCGAACCTTCAGCTCACTCCCCAGAGAAACGCGTTCCCATGTGAGCATCGTCCCAGGAACGGGGGTCCTGTTTTCCATCAAGCGATTCCTACAGTGACTCTGTTGGTGTGGGTAATCGCAGTTCACTGTTAGATTTCATGTCAGTCCTGGGCTTGGAGAAAGAAAAGGCCAGGCAGATGGGAAGGGAGACGTTCAGTGGTCACTTAAGACCGGCCTGCACGGGATTTGCTCTGACCATGCTTCTAGCCTTGGATCAGACATGAAATTAACAGTGTAATTTACGTGTGGGTTTGGGGGTTCCCTTCTCTATAGAAAAAGGAAGTTTCACTCAGGGCAGACGCTTTTCAAATGTGAAGTCACTCTTCAGAGTTCTGTGTTGTCCTGGCCACCTCTCAACCCCGCCCCCTGCAAACCTGACCGTGTGTGTGTGTGGGGGGGGGGGGGGCTAAGCAGAGCTTTGTCCCTGGTCTGGGCTCCCTTAGTGGCAACAGAACATTTCCAACAACCACTTATTTCCCTGTGATGGTTAGCTCAGCGCAAAGGATGGTTAAGGGGGAGCGAGGACTGGAAAGCTTCCCCCTTTCTAAGCTTCAGCTCCTGAGGAACCACCCGAGAGAGGAACGTGAGGCAGACCTCCTGGAGAAGGCTCTCCTGTAGGTCCAGAGCAGGAAGTGAGGGAGGCTTGATACTGTGAGCGCGCTTAGCAGAAGGCAGTTGAGTCCTCTTCCCTCTTGCCTCCCTCCGGGACCCTCGCGGGCCGGCACCCTGGGTCCAGATTTCCTAGCTCCAGGAATCCTGCCTCAAAGCCGCCCTAGGCCTCAGCTGCCCCAGCCTTCCCTTTCTGCCACTTCTGGCTCCCTGAAGCCCTCTCCTCCCACCTCGGGATCACAAATTCACACTCAGCCCGGCCCACAGACACTGCTGGCTTAGAAAAGCTTCCTGGGGACCTTGCCCTATTAACTCGTAACTGGCCGGGCCTTTGCCCGTTGCAGGCCCCTGCTTTCCAGGGGAGGCTTTCCAAGATAGCCTCCCCCAGCCTGGTTCGGTAGGCTTATTCAATTGGGATTCTTTCCCAGCCCCTACCCCGGAGGAATCCGGAAGGCCTCGGAGCCCGGGAGAGACCTTGGTCTTTTGAGCAGCAGGGAGGCCAGCGACCCACGCAGAAATCGAGCTAAAAGTCTCTTTAAATAGCCCCAGGAGAGTGGGTGAAAAGCGAGCTTAGGCCATGAGTGAAATAATCCTCTGCAAGCGGCACGCTTGGCTCCAAGTGCCTCTTTCAGGGCTCTTCCACTGGAAAGGGAATGAGGGAGGAGGAGACAAACCGAGGCCCGGAGCTGTTCTTGGCATCCGCGGCTCAGCCAAGCTGTTGTTTTAAAAGAGCAATAAAAATGAATTATGACTAAACGCCTTCTAACTTAATGCCTTCGGACGGGGATCCCCGGCAAATACGTAAGAGGATTTTTATTTGTGCATGTGTTCCTGCAATTGATCTCTTTGATGACATTCTCATTCATAGAAAGCGTTTGATTTATGGGCTTAGGACAAATCGCATCCAGGAGCTGCACGGCCCTGGCCACAGCCTGGACACCCTGCTCGGCTCCCAGAGCCTGGGGCCTGAAAACCTCCACAATCCACACACACCAAGGCTTCCGAGGGATTGGGGGAGGGAAGGGTAGAGGGAAGCCCGGGAGCAAACCCCTGAAGAAAGATGGAGGTTTCTTTGTAACTCTCCAGCTTTTGCTGTTAGGAGCTGGGGTCTTCCATCAGACAAGCCAGCCCAGGCACGTGTTGCTGCAGTTTTCTCACGGTAAGTAAGTCATCAGAACAGAACCCAGAGAGGAAAAAAGAAAAAAAAATGTGAGGAGAGACAAAAGAAGGGGGAAAAAACAGAACAGCCCAAGAGCGTACCCTAGATCACATTTTATTGATATTTCATTTAAAGTGCTCTTTCTCTGTCTAAGAAACTGGGTTAACTAATAACCTAGGGTGCAGAGACACTCTGTTTTAAAATCTCAACTTGCTAGCCTGACTTCAGACCTTTAATGATTTATTATTAGCAGTGTAAACAGATTTAAGAATTAAATGTGTGTGTGTTGTGAGGGCAAGAATCCTGGGGTGACTGGAAAGAACCCTTCCTGGCATGCCTTTTCCAGCTAGTAACCATTGTTTTGTTTTGTTTTGTTTTCCTCTATCTTTTAGGTCTGTTTTGCCTGAACCCATCAACAGCTGGGAGATTAGTCAACCACACTGAAAATGGGGGTGAGGGAAAGGAGGAGTTGGAATAGATGTTTGAAACAAATGTGTGTAAATAAATGAATTTCTGATAACTTGGCTATTGACCTAGAGGCTGGGAGCTTGTTAAGGGACCTCCACTTCACTCGTCCAGAGCCGGGAGTTTCTGTAGGCACTTTATTTCTCCACTTTCAGAAGCTTGGGCTGGGGCCAGCTCAGGCTGCCCGGCCCTGTTTCTATTGCTGACTTAACTCTGTGGCCTGAGTCTCTGAAACCCAAATCTGTTCCCTTAGGGGGGGAAAAACACTTGCCAAAAGTCCTAGCCGCTTTCTGGCTTTCTTCTCTGTTGCTGTCTATTGCAGACTTTGAACATGCCACCCTAATAAAATATATTAAAATTGAAAAAGGTAAATTGTGACCAGACTTTTATTTACCATGTTAGACTAAAAGAAGAATAAGAAATCAGTTTGAGCCTTGAGAAAGAGGGGAAGAAAAAAATTAAGAAAGCTACTTATAGCAAAGGAGAATTTATTCTACCAAAAATACTCATGACAATGCATCCTAATGTGTTACAAAAATAAAAAGAAAGTGACAAGACAATTTATGGTCACCTTCTTGCAGGCCTCATTTTTGTTTTCAGGAAAATCACGTAGAAGCTTGTTGGGTTTGGTGTAAAACCTCTAAAAACGCCAACATAATTTGTAAAAGATGGCTTTAAAACTGGGTCAGGGGAGAACATTAAACATAAAATCCTCAGCGTTAAAGAGAGTAGGGGTAGATCGAGAAGAAACTAAAACAAAAATCAACTCCCGAAATAAAAGAAGGCAAAAACCACCTGGTCAGAGGCGTTTTTTTTGTTTTGTTTTGTTTTGTGAAGCTTTGTTTTGCTTTAATGTTCTCAGTAATTCAGATGCTGGAGGTCGATTGTGGTGAGGGTGTCTGTGAAAAAGTCAAAGCTGTCAGCTGAGATGTCTACGGGACTGTCCAGGGAGCCTGGCAAGCTAGGCGACAGAGCCTCTGAAAGCTGCAGGCAGGACTCCGCGGAGAAAACATTAAAGTCCTGCAAAGAGGGGACCTCGAGGGCCTCGGGACTGTCATTGTTTAGGCCAGCTCCACAGTTCTGGCCCATTGTTGACAAGCAGTTAGAAACAGTGGGTGACTGGTGCTGAAAATGTTTCAAATTTTTCTCATTGCTGGTTAGAGGCGAAACTGGGAAAGTTTGGGAGTCGCCATTGTGTCCATTGGGAGCCTGCTGTTGAGAGAGCGCGTTTTGCTGAAAAGTGTAAGCTTCCCTCTCCAGAAGGGCCCCGGAGACGCTGAGGGCTTGCTCAAAGAGTGACTTCTCCTCCTCGTCCTCCTCCGCTTTCTCCGAGTCCTCCAGGTTTTTAAATTTTCCTTCGCTGTTTTGGTTCTCCTTGCACTGGGTTTGGCGCTTGTGCTTCATCCTCCGGTTCTGAAACCACACTTTCACTTGTCTCTCAGTCAAATCCAGCAAGGCGGCGATTTCCACCCTCCGGGGTCTGCAAAGGTACTTGTTGAAATGAAATTCCTTTTCCAGCTCCAAAAGCTGAGTGTTGGTGTAAGCAGTTCTCAGGCGCCTGGATCCTCCGCTGCCGCCATCAGCTATTTCCAGGGAGTCTGCGGGAAGGGAAACCAACAAGAGACACACGTACAGTCGAAGGTGGAGGGGGTCCGAGCAGGGTTAGTGCACTGGAGAGTAAATACAGCAGAAAAGATGCTGCAACAAAATGGCCGCCCCTGGACGCAGAGCAGCTATTGTGCTGGCTTTCCTGGGAGCCCAGCCTGGGGAAGCCCAGTCTCCTCCACCTCCATCAGATTCCTGCCTGTGGCTCCCCCCAACCTCTCCATCCGGGAGCTAACTTTATATTAGTTACAACACAATTTATAATTAATGCATCAGCTGCTTAGCTGAGCAAGAGCGGTCTATCACTCTTCATTACTGTCAAAAAGCCAAACTCTAGGACAACTAGACAAGAGGAGGTCAGTTCCAACTCAAATAAATCATCCTACATTACACAAGTTAGGGAAAGTCCCCCCCTCCTCAAAACATATATGTCTCGTCGTGGGATTCAGGATCTATTTCCCCCTCCATCAAACCCACTCCTGAGCCCACAGGGGCATGAGAGCGGCCACCAGGCTTCTCCTCTCTCTCTCTCCCCCTTTCCTCGAAGCCCACGGTCCCCTCCCCCATAACGGCTCCCAGGGAAGCCCGGAGGGGGACGAGGGTCCGCGGGACCCGGGGCTCAATCTCCGGACTGACCTTTGTGGCCGAGGCAGGCAGGGCCCGCGGAGGCGGCGGCGGGCGGCAGCGCGGTTTTCTTGGCCGCCTTCTTCTCCTTCATCCAGGGGTACTCGGGCGGCTGCAGGGCGCCAGCGGGCACCGGGCTGCCGCGACTGCCCGCGGGGCTCGACTTGGGGCGGCCGCCAGCGCTGTGGCGAGGGTGACTGCCCGGGTTCAGGCTGGGAATGGTCTGCTCAAAAGGAGGAGGAATCAGTGTCGAGTGTGAAAGCGCCGAGGTCTTGATTGATGAACTTTGAAATGTATCAGCGACAGGGGGAAAAGATGTCAGGCACTCAGCGAGCGACGGCTGGCTATTGATAAAACCAATCTCTCGCTCAAATTCGTAATTCATGGCCTTCTCCTTGGAGCCCCCTCGGAGAAAAAGTTCCCTTTTGGAGGGGCTTTGGGGGGGCAAGGCCCAGGAAAAAGGCGAGCGCGGAGGGAAAAAAAATCTATCATAGAAGATCGCTGCTGGGGTGTTTTTTTTCTAATTCACTGATTACAGCCGTATGGGGACCGCGCTACTATTAAACTATTGAATTCATGGAGACAAGGTTGAAATTGGACCGAATTGGCTGTCACATGATTGCTTCTGCCCAATGACAATTTGGGCTTTAATCAAAAGAAGCCACTGTCTGTTTGATTGATCCAAAAAAGTCAGAAAGGAACGCCTCATTGGGGGCCATCGAGGCTTTATTTACACTTTTTTCAGGGCAAAAAAAAAATCCATGTATGTGGGTGTGGGTGGGAATGCCCCGGAGTGCGTGGGGGGAGAGCGCCTGTTTGCCTCCTGAGCTGCCAGGATCTAGGGTGCTCCCTGGAGTGTGTGTGAGTGTGTGCGGGTGAGCCTTGCTGCCGGTCCCGCCAGCCGCTGCCCTCTGCCTCCCCCGCACACTCCGCGCATTGTTTGGGACTGTCGGGAAGACGCCTCGCACCTCACAAATCATTTAAGCACCTCAGCCTGACGCCTGTAGTCATTAACAAAGTAATCCATTAATCTTCAAAGTTTTGACACCCGAGGGCCCTACATTCCAGCCACATAAGTTCTGCTAAGGCAAGAGAAAGGAGCAGAGGGAGAGATGAGAGAGAGAGAGAGAGAGAGAGAGAGAGAGAGAGAGAGAGAGATTGGGGGTTCCCCTTTCCTTTTCTTCCTCCACTTCTAAAATCAGTTCCTGGATCTCAAAACCGATTCATATTCATTCTCTCTCTCTCTCTCTCTCTCTCTCTCTCTCTCCCTCTCCACCCTCCCTCCTCTCCTCTCCCTTCTCCCTTCCTCTTTTTCCTCTCTCCTTCCTCCACCCCACTCTACCCTGTCTCCCTCTCCTCCCTCGCAGCCCCTCCACCCCTCTCAAGGTCCAGCCTTGGATCTGCACCCCCGGCCCATTGTTAGGCGGCTTTTCCACGGCAGCTTTGCATCTGGCTCCTGCGGGCAGCGGAAGAAGAGAGGCGGCTCTCGAAAGCTTGCCGTTCTTCCTACGCCATCAACTTCTCACGAGTGGCTGCAGAAAGATAGATGCGTGTGCCAAGAGAGACAGCAGCCCCGGGTCCTTGTGTCCAAATCCCCGTAGCCTGGGCGGCGGCCAGCCAAAGCAATGACGCCCCGAGCAGGCTTGTGCGGCTCCTGGCACTCTGGGTTTCATACCCATAGGGCTCGGGTGCGGTGAGTATTTCCGATTTCCAGGAAGACTGCTGGAACTTATCAGCAGGGAGGGAAAGGACTCTTCCTCTCTCCCTTTTCCCTCCTACTCTTCTTGGATTCCTTGTCGCTCTGGTTGGGGACTGGTTGGTTCCGATGCAGCGAGGGTTTCTTGGCAGCCTGAATTGCTTCCCACACCTTCCTGCTTTTGGGCACCAGGGAGATTTGCACCCTGGGTCTGTTGTGGGGAACATCACTGCGTGGGAGAGGGCGAATCAAGAAGGAGTTACATTGCTTCAACTTCTCCTTCATTCTCTTTCTTCCAGTGCTGAGACAGGACTTCAGATTGAGTGCTGGACAGTGCTGAAGGATTCAAAAGATAACACCTTTAGATACCAAGCCAGAACTTAAAAGAAAAACCACCAAACCAGAAAGGAAAGGGGAGAGAGGAGGGAGAGAGAGAGAGAGAGAGAGAGAGAGAGAAGAGAGAGAGAGAGAGAGATCTAATGAAGGTACCTTCTCTTCCCCCAAACCCTAAGGATGGAGATTCGCTTTTGCTTCCTTTGAAATGGACCAAGTGACCACAGTGCCCCAGGCCGGCCGGCATCAGTGGCAGGGAAATAAATCATTCTGATGGCCAAGGAGAGAGAGGTTGGTGGGGGAGAAAATTTCTATGCAGAAAACAAGAAAGGCTGACCAAGGAGCAAGGGCAGAATTCCATCTCTGAGGCCATCGTTTAAAGGGTTTGGGTTGGAAAGAAGCTATAAAGTGATCTCCAACCTTGACCAGCTCAGAGCATTGCCTTGCAGATAGAGATGCTATTTTGGAAAATGTAAGGTTTTCCAGTTTTCTTGCTTTTATTCCAAACAAAGCTCTGAAGGAAGTCTGGGTGCGATCAATCTTGCTCACCAAAAGCCTTGACAGCTTCTGGCCCTTAAGAACACATTTCAGCTTCAAGCTTTTCCCAAGCTCAAATGTGGCTGAGCAAAGAGGAGAGCAGGAAACACAAGTAAACAAGGAAAATTTGTCCTTTTAAATTTTTTTTTTTTTTTTTTTTTTTGGCAGTAGAGAGGATTCTAAGGTTGCTTTCAGCAAAGGTGCTCTGCAGATCCAAGGGTGGGCGTTTGCTTTTACAGAAAGTGTTGGGGGACAGAGGAAAGTTAGAAAGCAGGGCTGCCCACATTATTGGGCTTTGTCAGGCTGTGTGGGTGAAAGCTTTTTGCTTCTCTCAACTGCCTTAATTCAAAAGCCATCTGGAAGAAAACCTTTCTCTGAGGCTGCCCAACACTCAGACCTTGCCCCAATCTGTGCTTTAACTCTGGAGATATCCTAATAAAGATTTCTTTTTAATATTCAGGAAGATGAGGGTGAGTTGGATATTTCTTTTCTTTGAAAGTCAAAATGAATGTCTTGACTGGCAAGATATGGGGAAATAGTATTAGAATCTCATTGTACAATCTCTACCCTAAGGGAAGGGGGAAGCTAATGGCAAGATTTTTTAGGCCTGGGTTCAAATGCTGGTATCTCTGGAAGGTTTTCAGGTGGAGACCCAACGCACACCTCTTCCCCTTTGACGCTGCCCTTTATTTTTTTTTCCAGGCAGCTGTGTGCATGTTTTTAAAAAGCTTACGTGCGTAAGCATGGTTTCAACGACCAAAGGCTCCATCCAGTCCATACAAAGACTGCCTTTCCAGCCTCTGCACTTGTGATGTGTGCATTCTATTTCCGTAGGGAGGTTGGGGTGAGGGGAGCAGATCCACTTCCCCACAGGCCAAAATCTTTGAGAAGAGAACCGTGAATCGAGCAGGGGAGGATAGGTGTGGGGAAGGCTCCTTCGGTGTGAGACTCCCAGCTTCCTGCAGCAGCTTGCTTTGGTATCCTCCGAGAGGGATTTCTCTTTTTCCTAAAAGATGGAAAGGGCCTCCCCCAAAAGCTGCTCCCTGGGACTCAGCAGGTACCCAGAAATGACCCCAGCGCTCGCTGTGTAAGATTTCCTTCTGGCGCTGGGTCGTAGGTGGGCAGAGGCCACGACGATGGAGATGGAGATGGTGATGGAGATTGCAAACAAGATGGCGACATTTTCCACCTAGGCCTCCGGAAGGTACCAGCCAGGGAGGACGGGGGCTCAGGCGCCCCCAGTCAGCTCCGAGGGGCTGCTGACGGGGTGCGGCTGGAAGGCTGGCTCTCCCTGAATCTGCAATTCTTCTCCTCGAAGGCGGAAACGTCGCCCGCTTCTGGCTGTGCCTCTGACTCTGCCAGCCGGGCAGCCGGCGTCCTAGCTCACAGTGTAAACGCAGAACTGTAATATCAAGCTCGTGTAGCCGCAAATGAAAGAAGTGCGTGCACAATTGCATTTTTATTAGAAAGATACCAATCTCCTCTCTCTCTCTCTCTCTCTCTCTCTCTCTCTCTCTCTCTCTCTCTCTCTCTCCTGCTCCCCCTGGGGCCATAAAAAGAGAAGAAATAAATCCACAGAATGGCAATGCTGAATTCCGGGAGGCACGGTCTGCGGAGATGCATGTAGGGGGATTCCTTCCAGGCCGAGGAGGCGGCGAGGACTCTCCGGAGCTCGGTCCTCTCGCTGGGGACCGTGGGCGCCTCCGGGCTGGGTTTAGGAGAGCGTCTCCTCCCCCCTTTCCTTCCCCTTCTTCCGGAGGGATGACAATGAACCGCGAGCATCCGCCGCGGAGCCCTGGGATGCAGCGGCTCGTAGGAAGGCCCCAACGTGGAGGAGAGCTTGGCACCGGCTCTCGGGGCGGGCGCCGGGGACTCGGGATCCGCGGGCGCGCCGCCCCGCACCTGTGCGCCCCCCGCTGCGCCCCGAGCCCCGCCGCCTTTGTCTGCCCCTCGCCGCCGCGCACCCCGCGGCCCGGCCCCTCCGCCTGCCCCGGCGGCAGCTGGGGACCGGACGGCCGCGCGGGCCGGGAGCGCGGACGGCCCCGAGCTGCGGCGGCGGAGCCCGGACCCGCGCGGCCTCCCAGGCCACACGCCGCCCGGCCAGGCCGCGCCGGGCCGCTGCCAGCTCGCTCGCCTCCGCCGGAACTCCACGCAGAAACCCGTCTGCAGGCAAAGAACCGCTTTTGACACGGATCTTAATCAGAATAAAAACTTTTATTATTTTTTTTTTGTTTTGTTTCTCTGAATGTGAGCAGCAAGGAATGTAAAACTCTCAAAACAAATCTATCGTTTTTTTAGCGTTCAGTCTTGCCGGATGTTACAAACCCAAACCGCTGTTTTCAAACTCTGGGTCCTCTCTTTCTTATTGCATCGCTACGGTTTTTATAAAGAAATTTTCTCTCCCTTTCAAATAAATTTTATATGTATGCCAATACACCATTGAACAAAAGGCCCGAGAAACCTTCTGAACAATCAGGGTACAGAAATTCTTTAATATAAATACGAACGGATGGGGGATAAATAATATTTAAAACTTAGACTATTTAATGCTTGCAAAAAATATAAATAAATCTGACTGTTCACCAGCATACACAGACGGAAAGACGTACACTTAGTCATCTTCGCACAGGCGGCCCCTGTTTCAAAGCGCCTTTGATTTCTTTTTCTCGCTCATTACAAGAAGTGCAATTTTAAAAACTAAAACTCAAAAAAAAAAAAACAAAAACAAAAACAAAACACACACACAAAAAAACCACGCAGTCGCTTCCTTTCGGGAGCCATAACGTATGAACAAATTCACATTGAAAACTCGACTAGAAAGTTTGTTCATATACCCTGTTTCTTATCAAAGAGTGGAGAAGGTAGAGGGTGCAGGGCCAGAGGCCGGGGCACACGGTGGTGGTGGGGGTAAATGTCGCTACTGACAGCCTTTTCAGCAACCAAGATTGCTGCGTCACATAAACTATAAAAACGCATTACCAAAGAAAACAAAATGAGGGAGGGGGTGCAGAAGAGGAAAGGGAGAGGCAGGAGGAAGGTTAAAAAAATAGAAAGAAAAAGAAAAAAAAAAGTAAAAAGGAACCAAAGAAGGTGGGGAGGGCAGCTCTCTGACGCGAGGCCCGAGCCCGTCATCACAGGTGGGTGAGCTTGGGCGCTTCCTGAATTCTTCCCTGAGAAGGATGGTGGGCAGAAAGGTCCGTGTAGGTCGGGTGCGGCTCGCCGGGCCCCGGCCCGTGGTGGTGACCGCTGCCCAGCGGCCCAGTGCCCCCGTAGTCCATGGCAGCCGAGGTGGTGTGGGGGAGGTGAGTTAGGCCGAAGAGTGTTGGCCCAGAGCTGCTCATGGGCTCCACATAGCTGCCCCCCACGAAGACGGGGCTTCCCTGTAGGTGTGGGGTCCCATAGCTGCCGTTGCCCTGCAGGCCGTGAGCGTGAGGGTCGTAGTCGGGGGTGCCCCCCGCGCCTGCCCCCGCCGCTGGGTAGCGCTTCTGTGGGGGCGGCGGGGGAGCGCAGCTGGGCAGGGGTGCGGGGTAGGAGGCCGGGGGCAAGCCGTAGGCGCCTTGGGGGGGCTTGGAGAAGGGAGGGGGCGACTGCGGCTCGTACGGGACGCTGTTGACCAGCGAATGCATAGAGTTCAGGTAGCCCCCGGCGCTGGGAGGCACAGGGCTGCGGCTGGGGGACTGGCCCCCGGGCGAGGTCAGCATGCCCTTGCCCTTCTGGTCCTTCTTGTACTTCATGCGGCGGTTCTGGAACCAGATCTTGATCTGGCGCTCCGTGAGGTTCAGCAGGTTGGCCATCTCCACGCGGCGCGGCCTGCACAGGTAGCGGTTGAAGTGGAACTCCTTCTCCAGCTCCACCAGCTGCGCGCTCGTGTAGGCCGTGCGCGCGCGCTTGGACGAGGCCTGCCCGGGCGGGCTCTTGTCGCCGGCGCAGCTCTCCCCTGCCGGGACACAGAGAGGAAGAGCGGTGTCAGGGGCTGCTGGCGACCCCGCCCAGCTCCCCAGCCCTGGTCCGGCCCCTAGGCCCTCCAGGGCCGGAGAGGAGCGGGATTGCAGTGCGGAAACAGCCCGGTTAGCCTGCCCTTCCTTCCTCTAAGGAGCCAGCCATGGGTTTCTTCGGAAGGGCAGCAGAGCCTCCAGGGCTCCCGCGCTTCCTCTCTACTTGTCTAGAGCCTCTACTGGCCCATCAGACAGCAAGCTTCCTGTGAGCAGGTGCAGCTATCTTCGGATCCTCCAGACGCTGACGTTCGGGAGACCTAGTGGATACGTCAAGACCTTTCGTCCTCCCTGTTTGGCTGAGTGACTAGCCATTAGCTTCAACTAAATCAGTTTAAAAATCGGCCAAGAGGAGATGGGTAGATAGGTACGGTCAAACTGGAAGATCTTCTCTGACCAAAGGAAACCAGCTGTCTAGTTGTGGTAGGGAAACCCAGGCTCCCTTGAGGAGTCCTGGTCATGAGGTTCTCCATGTCTTCAAGCAGGCTGCCCAATTTTTGCTTCCTGTCCTCCTTGGCGCCCCAAATACCTGTTCTGGAGGTTCAGAGACTCATGCTCAGTGGAGAGCAATGGAAATCAGAGAGGAGGGCCCAAGGTAACCGAGGGGCTTGGAAGCCCAAGGCTCTGAGGCTGAGGCTCTGGAGGTCCAGTTCCCAAGGCCCCATGTGGTTCCCATTAGGATGACAAGCTGATCCCCTCCCCCAGGGGATGCCTCCTTCATTGTACTAAGACTGAGCAAGGCCTTCCCAGAGGTGAGGCGGCCAATCCATCTGCTGCAGCAAACACTGGCTCTGGTTATAGACAAAGCATCGATTCTGACTTGGGTGGTGATCAGGCCTGCTTTTATTCTGGGACACTTCAGTATGTCTGTCTGTCTGGGGAAGAAGAGCTGTGCTTAGAGAGACAGTGGCCCTCAGGATGGTTCTATTTAGAGGTCAGAGGTCCCAACACTAGAACATGGAGAGACTGCAGCTTCACCAGGCTCAGGGGGACGTCAGCCTGGTTTATGCTTGAGAGACCTGAGACAGAAACCTTATCACTTCCCTAAGTAGCAAAGATTCTGGAAATATGTTTCCCCTCCTGTGTGTGTGTGTGTGTGTGTGTGTGTGTGTGTGTGTGTGTATGTGATTCCTAGAGATGTTCCAGTGCTCTAACAACAGCTGGAAGTGGCTTGGGGTGTGGAGTTTGGCCATAGGCCCCACCTCCAGAAGACACCCGTTTACCTGAGCTGGAGCCGCTGGTTTTCTGCTTAGCGTTCTGTCTCGACTCTTTCATCCAGGGAAAGATTTGTTTGCCTACGGTGGGAGAGTTGAGCAGGGGGCTCTTGGCTGTGCTGGCGGGGGGAGGGTTGCTGTTGGCACTTTGAGGGGGGGAGACAGAAGAAGGAGGCGGGGGAGCCGCAGGAGTGGGTGCAGGGGGCTGTGGCGGGGGCTGTGGAGGCTGTGGGGCCGGGGGTGCTGCCTGCGGGGGCGGTGGAGGCAAAGGTGGATCCCCCAGGCCCGGGGGTTGGCTCGGGGGGCCGCCCAGGCTGCGTAGACACGCCTCGCTCAGCTCATGAGCTTTGGGATGTCCCCCAGCGCTGGCGGGGGACTGGAGGGAGCAGGCGGGCCGATGGTACTCAAGGCCATCGGTGCCCAGAGCCGCGGGCGGCGCGTACGGCTGCTGACTGGCATTGTAAGCGAACCCATTGGCTGCTTGGTAGGGGTAGCCACCGTAGATCGCCGAGCTGTCGTAGTAGGTCGCTTTTTGCATCGCGAGGCTTCACGTTGGTAGGCGCACACTCTGAGAAGGGCTTGACACCCGCGAGGGGGCACATTGGCACGCCCCCGCGGTCACGTGACACTCCGCCGCCAATGGCCGCCCCGCGCAGACCTGAGGGGAGGGGGAGAAGTGCAGCGCGGTGAGGGCTCCGCGCAAATCCATCTTACTCTCAATAGCTAAGTGACATGAAAGCCATAAAAGAAAAAGTGGTCAGCAATATTTAGCAGCACGACGTGGCCCCGGGCGCAGGGAGCCGCGCTATAAAAAGCTGCTGGAATTTACTGGCAGCTACAAATATTTGCTTAACTTGCGTCTGGAGTTGGGGGACTTTCCTCGGAGAAAGGAGCAGAACCAGTAAGGGCTGGAAGCTGGGTCTCTGGAGCCGCTAGGTCCAAAAGGAGACAGGCTCTGGAGGCTAGATTGGGGGGGGGGGCGGTGTCTTTCTTTTCCGGAAGAAACCGTGGTGTCCCTTTGTGGAGGCTGAGGCTTTCTCGAGAACTTAGGAGAACTCTCAAAAGGGCAAAGTGCCTTCATTTTTTCCTCCAGTCCCCACGGTAGGACTTGTATTTGCATAAAAACCCTATCTGGCCGGACTTCCTTCCTATTCCGTCCTGGGAGGTTTCCACTCCCCAAAACCATAGGCAATTGCCCTATTAGACCACAATAGGTTTTGGAAGCTGGTTTGTAGGCAGTTAACTATTTCTCTAGTTCAGGGAGGAGGACCAACCTCCCACAAATGAACCCTATGAGGTCAAGCAGTGGGTGGATGGAAGAGAAAACTTTGGGTGGAGCTCTCTCTCTCTCTCTCCCTCTCTCTCTCTCTCTCCTAGGATAGACCAACACCAGCACTTCACCCACAAGTCACAACTCAAATCCTGTAACTTTCTTCACACCCTTTCTCCTGTACTTCAGGCTATTTGCAGCAAGCCGCCTTAACCTCTGTTTCAACGTTACAGGAGGTCGCAGCTCTCCTGCCTTGGATTTTCTGAGGTGCTGCTATTCTAGGCAACTATCAAATTCTACCTGTTAAAACATGATGGATTAGAGGGAAAAAAAAAAACCCACCAGGAACCTGAAAAACCAGCGTTCATCTCCATGACCACGGCTTGAACTCTCCTTCCAACTTAACGATAATAGGTTCTGTCTTAGAAACTGCTATGTAATTTGATGTATGGGGGTCATTTGGCTGCAGAGAAGGCTTGGAAGCACAACCATAAACTCCTGCCAGACTTCCCTGATCTTTGTATACAGTTGTTGATCAGATTTGGTATTTGGTCCATTTTCCTGCTTCAGAAATACTAAGTAAAGAAAAACACTAAAAAACAAACAAACAAACAAACAAAAAACAAACTATAAAAACCTCGTGTTTAGAAAGCAGTTTGTAGACATGAAATCTGTGTTCTCTTGGTTTTCAACTCTTGCATGGTAAACTTCAAATTCTCAACAAGGAAAGTTCCTTGGAAGTCTTAATGTTAACCTACTCTCAGAATTCTTTTCTCTGTGACCATTAAGAAAAGTATAATGACAAATCTATGTAGATAATGCTTTACATTTCAAGCCCTAGCTATGGCTGTTCAATACCAGAGTTACTCAGCTTTTCTAGAAGTAGCAGATATCAACTCTCTCTCTCTCTCTCTATATATATATATATATATAGAGAGAGAGAGAGAGAGAGAACAAGCACCCACTAGTGCGTGATTATAATTTTGATTTTAATAATGAACCCCCTTAGATTTCATCATTAAACCAACAATCTGATCAACATCTGGAAAACAGGCACAATTAACTTTCCAGAACCTCAATAAAAAAAAAAAACCACAGCAGCACTTATCCAGAATTATTGTACATAGTCATGAACCCTGGAGAACTGTTTCCCTTTTGGAAATATCTAGGAAGATACAGAAAGCACCGTAGAAAGTAAATAAAGGGTGAAATAAAATTTAAGAGTGAATTACAATTTAATGTCTACTTCTCTCGTTCTTAACGCTGACAACAGTCCCTCTTACATTTGCCAGCATTAATGTCTGTTATTACAAAATCTTTTGAGATACCAAGCTTGATTAAGGCAAAACGTCAGGTTAAGAAAATTACCCTAGACATCTGAACAGCAAAATATTAGATAAAACAGAATTAAGTTGAATTTGAACGTGCGGCATGTCTAGTGACTTTCTAAGCCGTTAGCACAGGTTATACCAGCCGTAAGCCTGGGTAAGCCTTTCGTCCATCATACTATTCATTGTCTTGTAAAGTAACAACAACAAAAACAACTTTAAAATCAGAGATCATATGGCAGCATCCAAAAACTTAAAATATGAATTTACCTCAGAGACCCCCATTGTCTGAGGTCCGCAATCACCTTGGAGCCCACACAACCCGCCCCCTCCAGCCCCCAAAGTTTTCAGCCTGGTAAAGAAGTTGGAGGTTTGCCAGCCAGGAAACTTTGCTTTGTCCCCCTCCCCAGGCAAGGGCTGAGGGTGGAGGGAGGCTCTGCCCAAGGGTCTGTTCCCGGACAATAACCTCCAGGTGCGGGGCTGAGGCCAGAAGAGGAGGCTGGACCGAGCCCTGGAGGCCAGCCCTGTTGTCTGGACACCACGGTACGCCCAGATTCCACCTCCTCGGACTGCGCTCCCTTGCCCTTCCTCAGCTGCTCTCGCCCGAGTTTGCTAGGGGACGTCGAGGCAGAAGACCCCGCTCCCAGCCCACTCCCCTCTCACCAACCCAGAAAAGTTGGGGCTGGGCCGGGGACGAGGGGAGAGTGGGGGCGGGGATGGGAGCGCGGCCTGAGCCGGAGTGTGAGGGTATCCGTCACTGCCGGCGAGGAGGCTCCGGCTTGTGAACTCTTCTTGAACCGAGCTCTAAGTCTGCGGCCATAAATCACCGAGACGTGCGCCCCGCCACTCAGCGCCGAGCGCGGCCGGCGCTGGCCCCGCTTACCTTAACTTCGGACGGCCGCCGCGGGCTCCGGCGTGGGCTGCCGCCCCGTGTCCCCTCGGCGCGGGCTGGCCACCGAGCCTGAGCATCCGCCGGGCGGGAGCGCGGGTGGCGGAGCCCGAGGCCGGGACGCGGCGCGGAGCCGGGCGGCTGGCGACTCCGGCTGCCGGGCCCCCGGCGCGCTGGGGCGGCCAAACCCCCTCCCCTCCCCTCCCCCACGCCGCCCCCGCCCTAGCCGCGGCCGCGGCCCCGGAGAAGCGCTGGCGCGGGCCGGCCTCCGCGGGGCTAGTGGCACCGACTTGGGTATGTTTCTTATGAATACTGCGCCGAGCTGGGGTCGGTCGGGGGGTGCGGTGAAGGGGTGCCGGGGCGGGCGGGAGGGGAGAGCCGAGCGGCTGGGGAAGCGCCGGCGTGGGGGGTGGGGCTGAGGCGAGGGGAGGAACAGGAGCAGAGCGAGCTCGGCGGCAGCGGGAGGAGGGCGGCCTCCCCCCCACCCCACGCCCTCCCTCTCCTTCCTAGGCGTCACTAAAGTCCAGGAAAATTATGCTAATGAGGACAAACGGCTCTCACAAAGGGGCTCTCTTGCGGGGTTCTATTTTTTAAGAATCTGTCCGAGAAACCACGCGATTCCCTGCCGTAGGCATTTTCATGGGGTTGGGGGGTAGGGGAGGGAGAGAAGGAGCAAGGAGTTGCCCTGACTTTGGACAGTTTGCTTCACCTGCCGGGTCCTACCCAGACACCCCCAACCCCCGTCCCCGCGGTGCAGAGACGGGACCGACTTCCAGACACCTCCCAAACGCCACTCAACTGCCTTTGGTTATATTTCCAGGCCCAAAGGAGGGAAGTGTCCTAGCAGATGGACAGCTGTCCCCACGTGAACCGAACCTCTCTGGGTTGAGGCACACACAAAGACACCCAGAAACTTGAGTCTCCACTTCTTGTGAGCCCATTGCACAGTTCGGGCACGGAAGGAGGTCGCCCACAAGGAAGACAGATAAGGCTTTGACACCGACACAAACAGACATCCAAGCCATTTCAACCCCCTGATTAGTTCAGTGGCCTTCCTCTGGCTGGCTTGAGCACAGGCCTGAATTTGCCTGAACTTTAAGGAGGATGGGGTCATTCCCAGTGCCCACCTCAGCTTCCCAGCTTCAGAAGCAAACTCCTCCAGGGTAGGAGTGAAGCAGAGAGAGAGAGAGAGAGAGAGAGAGAGAGCGCTTTTGTGCAATTCCGAGGCGTCAACAAGGGTCCTTCTCAAAGGAAGGTGTTAAAAATATAAGTAGTATGTTTAAACTGTCAGGGAGCCAAAATGTCACCTTAGAGCAAAAACAAAGCCAGGGGAAAAGGGAGAAATCAAAACGCACTCGGGCAGGGTGGCCTCATGCATACCAATGGTTTTTGTCATTTACGGCTGGGCAAGATTTATGACTCGGCTCCCCAAAGCTGTAAACAGAGCACAAAACAGCAAACACTTGCTCCTTATGGCATATCGCCGCGGCGCAACTTGAAAGGGGAGAGCCGGGGACGCGTAGGAGGTGAGAGCCGGCCGCAAAAATCTGCTCGGCCGCGTTTTCTCTTCCAACCCTCAGGGTCGGCTGTGGCATTTGAAGAAAGAAGGCGTGGGTCAATGATCAACCCGCACTTTCTCCTCCAAACTGCTGACGCGACTCTCAGCGCCTTCTCGGCTGAGCCAGCTGCAGGGGAGGCCGTGAGAAACAGACCCAGGAGCGGACTGTCTGGTCCAGAGGGGCCGAGAGCTCTAAAGCAGCGGGCTGGGGCATCGGCAGCCGCGTACCTTTCTGGCTCGACCAAACGAAGCCCAGAAAGCCAAGCGCGGGGACCAGGCCGGACCTGAGGAGTTGCAGAAGCTCAGGAGAACTGGGGTGAGGGCTCAGCTCAGACTAGGCCCTCCACCCTCCCCCGACTGCGACTAGGTGGCTTCTGGGCGACGGGCCCCAACCGGCAAACCGCTCGAGAGAGCACTGATTTCAAGACGCGGCTCTGGCGTCCTGGAACAGAGATTACCGTTGGGGCGGCCTTTGGCCCCCTCATCTGAAACCCGAAAGGCTGGCTTTGGAGCAAGCATAG